AGAAAATTTTTTTTCGCCCTTTAAACACAAAAACACGGGGGGGGGCCCCCCGTTTTCATAAAGCCAGGGCTGCTTCCCCTGCACAAAATTTTCCCGGATGGTTTTTATTTCGGCCAAGACAAACACTTAGGGGTTTCGAAGGGGGGTCTGTGAGATAAGAACCGCGCGGCAGCAAATTAAAACAGTCCGCTGCCTGGACGACCGAGCGACAAGCTTATTTGTTTAGGGGCCATTTTAGATTTTTATGGCATTGGCAGAGGAACACGGGCAAAAAATTTGGGAAACATGGATTTTCAAAGGATAAAAAACTTTTTTCCAAAGACCCCCGGACCACTCCCCGGGGCCCCGCCCCCACGTTGTTGCGCTGCTTTCCAAAGCCACCGGGCCCTTTCGGTACCTCCCCCAGTTGTTTAGTGCCCGTTTCCTTTCTTTACCGCGCAACCCTATTCTTTTACCCCCTTTGTAGAGCAAAGTGGAAAAAAGGGCCCTCTGCCCCCCTTTGTTGTGGCGCCAGGTATATCGGCCTTGACCTAGAGCTTTCCTGCACGCGGACAGGACGTGCTCAAGAGTTTGTTTATTGTACGTGGCTAGCCCACAAGACTACCAGGAAAGACTGGTGACTATCGGGAAAGACCTTTTGACACCTTTGGAAAGACTGGCCCCCCGGTATCGCCGGGGGGATAAACTGACATCTGGAGACAGATGTCGACTGTGGACCGGGTTGATCACCCCTAACACAGTATAATACCTCCGATTTCGTACGACCACAATGAAATATGCCCCCAGGTAACAATAAAAATAATTACTTATATGGTGCTTTATATGGTTTCTTCTTCTTTCGTTCACTTAGAATAGATTATCTATATCGGCTATGTTGTCTCTAGTATGAACTTCGCTGTTGTAATGCAGTCAGAGACAGGCGGACAGACTGGCTTGCTCTGCACAACTTGGTGGAATACTGATACATGATAAGGCAGAGGTGGTTAGTGCCTTGTGGAAGAGTGTGTACAGTTCAGGGGAGCAGATGGATCACCACAGTCTGGTGAGATTGATGCAGGGGGGGGAGTGACAATAGGTTCTGGCAGATGCCCAAAGCTCAGAGGAAAGGCAAGACGGATGTTTAATCAGAATGCTACTGGGACAATTAGTACCGGAACTCTTGGCTGGCTGCTGAAGATGGGGACGGAGCGCTTATGGGAATGCCTCAAGTGCTGTGATGTCGGTTCTTGAATCAAATCAAATCAGTCAGAGACCCGTAAAGATTGGTTTCCACCAGTGTTTCTCTTGGCCAGAAGTTTTACCTTGATATGTTTAATTTGGACGGTCTTGGAGGATGTGATCTGTTTTTCAGGTGCTCCACATGTGCACTAACTCCAGTGAATAAAGAAGAGAAGAACAGACACTGGCATTGCATAGAAAACATGTTGAGAAAATCTTAGATCAGTATAACTTCGTCTTTGCACTGGGGCATAGGCATAAAGGCAGACCAAAAACACACGGAGAGGGGACTAGAGCGGAAATGAAATTTTTTTTTAATGGGGTGAGCTGCATGCAAACTTGTCTTCACTCATAAAATACTTGTACTATTCAGATGCTTGTATCCCTGTGGGTGTGATGCACATTAACAGCATAGGACATCTGTTGCGACTAGACAACGCAGTCAGTGAGGGAACCCACGTTCAGCCTAGTTTGTGGGATCTGGATATGGAGGAACAGAAAGATGGTAAACAAACTTTGCATTTAAAATTAAATTATTGTTATCTGATTTTTGCTTTGACTTTCTGCAAGAAGATTGACTGATTATGAATTTTATTTAACACACAGATTTATCTCTTTTATCTGCTGATTATAAATTTTATTATAGATGAAGTTTTAACTCTTTTATCTGCTGCATTGACAATCAGGTCATATGAATCCTGAAAAGTGCCTGCTTCTATTGCAGTGAGGTTGACGTAGAGTAAAGCTATTCAACCGGAAACCCACTGGCCAAGTGATTTAATTGAATAGCCCTGGTGTAGAGGCTTTTATCCAAGCCCAGTACTGAAGCACTATCTTCATGAGCGCTGTGTTCCAGAGCTACAAGTTCAGAAACCAGCAGAATGTGCAAGACCAGTTCTGGAACTCACCTGCAGAGAAGCATTAACATTTTTAGATAGAGTCGAGTTGAAAACTGACATCATAGTACCTGGAACATTCTTCCCACAAGCACTCTGACCTATCTTCAGCATCAGCAGACAGTTTGAGTTCTGATGGTACCAGTATCAGACTATATATTTGACTTCCCTCTCCTGAGTGGTGTTCCGTGTCGGCCAGATTTCCCTGTCACTTCACTCTGCACCATTTTCTTCAAACTGTGATGATGTATTTGAAAGACGTTTTTCTGTGGATGTTATACCATGTTTGATATATTGACTAGAAAAGGTACCTGGTCTATGAATAGATTGTGCCACAGTGAGGTGTCAGAGGTCTTGACCTTTGTGAACTTTGTTTTTTGGTCATGTGACATACTCTTTTTCAGTAAGGTAATTCCTGGCATATATATCTCCTTATCAGCACAGAATCGCAGGTTCCACAGGATTGGTCTGATTTCTGTTTTGTAATATTGATCAAAAGGGTTTCTGTTCATATTGGAATATTTTATAGATACCCTTCTCCATCTTAAGGGTGAAATTACAGTGGATATTGTAGTGGTAATAGAGAGATTTCAACTACAGAATGCTTTTACTGGTTTATGTTCAAAAGACAATAGTTTTTTTTTATTATTTGACAGTTAGCTGAAACATAAGTGCATATAAATGTACATTTATGGTGTTAAAATACAGTACTCTTTCTATCCTCAGAGAAGAGAGTCCCAAGTTTTGTTGAGAGTAAAATTTTTGAACTAGATGCTTGTGATGGATTTGGTAAAGTGTGTCTAGTGTACACTCGGGCACCTAAAGGTATGGTATGAATGTAGAGGTGATATATGCTGAAGTAACATTATCTTCTATGTATGCAGATGGCTCATATGTTAATATAACATGTAAGTTTAGACATACAGATGACAAATATGCTTGAGTAACATAAATATTTAGGGAGTCACTCACAGCAGCGCAGCTACTAAACACTCACATGCTGGCCTGTAGGTCTAGGTTCAAATCCACGTCGAGCCAGTTTTTTTTTCTTCAAAACTCATCTGGTCAATCCAGCTTAAGACTGATACCAGGCAATTTTCTAGGAAGTAAAGGCGGTCCATTGGGGTGTTGACCACATCACCCATTGAATGCTTATATATTGGTCTGTAAATCCTTGTGTGGATTTTTATGAAAGAAAGAATAAACCCACTACCCCCTGAACAAGCCTCTCATAAAAAGGTGACCATTTCGGGGTTTGCTGAAATCAGATGTGTTGGTCAAAAGGCACAGACATTGCAGCCTAGCCGTAAACCATAACACAATGTACCAACTACAATAATAAAGGTGAATATAGAAGAAGGTCTTTGAAAACAAATATATCTACCACTAAATGCATGGGGAGTCGCCGTGGCCGAGCGGCTAGACGCTTGCTGCGGATCAGAAGGTCGTGGGTTCGCTCCCTGGCAGAGCTGGACTTATTTCAAAAATTACCTTGGCTTCAGGTCGATCCAGCCTTGAGTGGGTATTGGGTGCAGTCCCTGGAAAGTAAAGGCGGCCGGCGTGATGCTGACCACATCACCCATCTTGTGCCGATTGGTCTATAAAAATATAGGTCTAGCCCTATATGCCCTATATGCCTAAAGGCATGGAAAAGGGTCCTTTACTTTACTTACTTACTAAATGTGTGATGCATTAGAGGGGTGAAAAGGGTCCTTCATTTTACATGAATGTTTATACATGCAGATTACATATATCCCAAGTAAAATATATTTTTATGCATGCAAAAAATTTATATATTAGGAAATTTTTATATGTTTTATATATGCTAAACTAACATATATGTTTATTCATGCAGAGGGCATATATGCTGAATTGATTTGTATATTTACACACGCAAATGACATATATGCTGGAGTAGCATGTATGTTTTGAATGGGAAAATATGCTTGCATTACATTAGATATTTGAGACTTGTTACAATCAGGCTTTAGAAATTGATCATTATTTGAAAGAGAAATTAGTAATTTAATTGTTGGCACCAAACTCCAGGGACCTATGTAGCATATCAACTAGAATGTCTGTCTGACAGTCCCTTTGTATGTTGAAATCCCAATTGAAGCACAATTTTTTTTTTTTTTTTTAAATTGACAGGGTTCTAAGGTCAACACAGGCTAAAATGATCATCATCATCATCTTTTTGTACTGTGTGTATGTTATATAGGACTTGCAGATTATTCCTCAATTCTGTTGTATCAAGGGGTACTGTGTGGTCTCGAGGCATGGTGTCCACCTCAAGTGCTAGAGGTTCTGGGTTCAATCCTTGGTTACAGCTGGGATTTTTTTTTTTTGCATGGACTTGGACTTCTAATTCCCCCTGGTCTCTAGGTAGTGAAATAGGACACCCTTGTGCATTGTTGCGCACATAAGAAATGCCTTGGCAGTTGGAAATTAAAAACAGTAGCCTAATGGCGCTGCCCGGGCAAAATTTTCAGTTTAAAGTCTACACAAAGTATTTTAGGATCCTGGCCGTTGCTAAAGAACATGTGTACAGTGCTGAGCTTCTACAGACTCATACTTGAGTTGGAAGAAGAACGGAGCACTTATGGATTACTACCCGTGTGCGATGATTTTGATCCGTTATTCGAACCTCAAAACTTGTGTTGTATCCTGTGCAATCTTTTCGATATCATGGATGAAATACAATCGAGGACTTTTGGCCTCTCATGTAAGTAAGTAAAGGACTCTTTTAAGCCAGTGGTACACCAGGCATGTGATGTCAGACTCTTGTTTGTATAGCCCGGCTGGCACTCAGTGGGAGTGAGTGAACAGTGCGGAGGCATGAACAGATCATTACGGTCTGAGGAGTATTGTGCTGGGGGGAGTTACCATGGGATCTTGCCAACGCTCAGCGTAAAGGCAAGATGGATATACAGTCAGTTACTGGTACCATCAGAATTGGAACTCTTCGCTTGCTGATAAAGATAGGAATGGAGTGCCTACCAGAGTATTCTGAGTACTATGATGTTCCAGGAGATTGTCGCTGGAGCTTCATAATTCATGCTTTCTGCAGACAGCTAGCCATCTGTGAAGTGAGACTGAGCCACATGAGATTTTTTTTTTTTAAAGTGTATCTATCAACTTACAAATCTTTAGCTTTAGCAAGAACTGCAAAGATGTACATGGTCTTATTTGATTGCTAGTATTGGTTAAAATCATTGATATACCCAGATGACAGCAGTTCAGAAAGTGACAGTGAAACAGAAAAAGCATTTCCCTTTTACTTTGGTATGTCACTTTTTAGTTACTACATATTCACAGTGCATTTCTCCTTTTTATTATTTTTTTTTCTAGTCTCACTGTTTTAATGTAATAATATTTAACAGAAATATTAGTTTGTGCACAATTAACACTTAACAACTTAAACAGCATTGAGGCAGTACTAACCATGTTAATTTACACTGCCAAGTCTTAATAGATTAGTATCCTAAGAAGCAGCTTTTTTTTTTTTGTTGCTTTGGTGGTTACTTTCATATATCTCTGATCGTGCATCTTATATCATATAGCTGATGAAATAGTAAATAGTAAGTAAGTAAGTTTTACCCCACCAGGACATCACACAGTGCGATAAAAACCTGGTGACACAAGGTGACATCATGCCAATAAGGATCTTTCGTGGAGAGGTCCTGGAAACCCCATTCAACCGTTAGGTTATATTAAGGCCCCCGTCAACAGCCATGGTGAGGCTTCGAAAATAACGGAAAATTGCATCCCACAAGAGGGTGATTTATAATACATATACCTTCTAATGGAATAGAAATCAATAAAGAGAATAGGAATTGCTAACAGTAGTATTCAAACAGGGGTAAAATATTGACATCTAGAGAGATACAGAACACCTTGAAAATGAGAATTATCTTTTCTTCTTAGCGTTCGCCAGCTGTAAACTCCCCAACTAGAAGTTTTTGGGGGGTTTTTTGTGTGCATCTTCTCAGGGCAACAGGATTAACTGCCTTATGGCCACAAGCAAACAAACTGCTAAAACTGCCTTTATATACCACTTCTGCTGTGTAGGCAGGGGGTCTTTTGAGCCTGCGGATTTAAGGCCACGTGGCTAGTTAAGGCCGCATGGCTAGAGCAAATAAACTGATATCTCATTATTTATGACTGTGTAAAAGGATTCGTTTATACACCGTTAAGCATAATGGGTATATAGAGCTAGGCCTATATTTTGTAGACCATTGACGCTTGGTGGGTGATGTGATCAGCATCACGCCAGTCGCCTTTACCTTCCAGGCCTCTGTTTTGTACCTGCTCAAGGATGGGTGGACCTGGGAGCCAGGGTTCATTTTTGAAAAAAAAAGTCCAGATCTGATCACATGTCTTTCAGATCCACAGGTGAGCTTCCAGCCACTGCATCATGGTGGCTGCCATTTACAACTATGAAAGTTACATAAGTGTAGTCTAATTTATATGTCAACAAAGAAAATTTCCTGAGTTTTTTAAGTGCTTTAAATTTTTCATGCATATATGGAGGCTGAGTGGTCTCGAGTTATGGTGTCCGCCTTGAGTGTTGGAGGTCCCAGGTTCAAGCCCCAGGTGAAGGCTGAGATTTTTTTATGTGGACTTCTAGTAATTTTCCCTAGTCTTTGGGGATTAAGATCGGATGCCCGTGTGTATTCTTGTGGAGGAGAGACAGAAGCATGGAGGATCATCTGTATCAGAGTTGATTGAAAGCACACAAGACAGAAAAATTTGGATAGAGATGACTACCAATGCCTTCACGCCATTGTTTTTTGAATGGACCAGCTCCTGACACCATTATAGAAAACAATGCAAGGCAGTCTGCTGGCAAATCACCCACAGCTGAAATTGAAACACAGTATCTTGGAGTTAAAAATCTACCCAAAGTAGTTCAGGATCCTCACCAGTGCAACAGTGTTTGTGCACTGCACTGAGATTCTTTCGACTCAGGCTTGAGTTAGAAGTAGAACTGAGCACTTATGTGTTACCCCTGTGTGCCATGATGGTGATCCGTTGAATAAACATAAACAAACATGTGTACATGTGACACCATAAATTGAGGTCAACATGAAATATCAAGCATGAATTAATAAGTAGCTAACACATAATATTGTGGTAAAGCTATATAGTCTTCCTGAGTAGAATATATGGACTAATAATTTTTAATTTTTTTTAGTGCAATAACTGAATGTAACATGTTGCTACTGATTGTCGTAGATATCTACCTTTGTTATTTTGCATTGGTTACCATTAGTTAATAACATAGTATAATACAAACACCCACTGCATCAAGCGCTTATTAGTGAAAAGGGCGACAGACTGAAGAGGGGGAAATCGTGGCTAGGTCGGGCAGAAGATGTTATTAGGCAAATATGCAGCCTAACTGACATCATACCTGGGGCAGAATGGATACCTGTGCCTCAGGCGTTTATTTGTACATTTTCCTGTATTGTCACACTCAACAGGCGATGTAGAGAAGAGAATCCTGTTGCTGTTAATGCAGAGGTCAACGCTCTCATCGGTGAAAATTCAGACGAAGCAGATGCAATAATCTATACAGACGGATCCGTTATACGCCAAAGAAGAAGCGCATGGGCATTTACAGCACGCTCAGCGGGCAGAACAGTCAAAGAAGCCAACGGCGCCTTCTCCATGACAACCAGCAGCATGACGATGGAGGTGATGGCAGTGACACAAGCGCTTGCCTGGCTTGAAACACAAAAAATACACCCGCGTGTGTATACTCAGTGATTTCAATGAGTATGATCCGGAGGGTTCAGGCAGGTTCAGTGCGAAGACAATGGCTTGAATCATTACAGAAGTCCACTGTTCGTGGAGTCACCTTTATTTTTGTTCCGGGACACGCAGGCGTCGATGGAAATGAAAGAGCTGACAGGTTGGCTGGATCCGCTATCACTACCGACGGTCAGCCTATGGATCATGCTGATATTATCAATGCCCTCAGAGAAATGGGAAGAATAGAGGACTTTGGTGGCAGTGAATCCACATCACTCGCCAGAATGGCAGACTTGGGAATTAAGATCGGCACAGCAAAAAACGAGACGCACACCAGCTACGCCAGAAGACTTGTTAATCAACATAGAACTGGTACTATTAGCCATCGGACGTTGGGGTTCATACTGAGGGGAGGATCTGAGCACCTATGGACATGTCCGGAGTGCAATGAGGATAACCCAACTAACTAACTAACTAACTAACTAACTAATAGTATAATACACAAAATTTTTCCATTTTCCTAAGAGGTGTTGGGTAGTTAGCATCCTTTGGATATTTTCTCCAGGTCATGTCGATGAGTTGGGAAATGAGCAGGCAGATAGACTGGCAGGTTCTGCACCACATGGTAGTGAATTGGATGTTGTGAGGGCCCTTTGGGAGCGAGTGAACAGTGCAGAGGCACAGATAGATCATTACGGTTTGAGAAAAATGGCGCTGCAAGGAGTTACCAGGGGATCTGGCCAACGCTCAACACTCAGGGGAAACACGAGATGGATATACAATCAGATAGCTACTGATACTAGCAGAACTTGAACTCTTCTTGCTGCTGACGATGAGGACGGATCACTTATGGGAGTATCTTGAGTTATATGATGTTGATTCTTAATTCAATAGAAATTTCACAGCTATAGAACATTTAAACGCAATAAATACACACTACAAGTGGCTACTGGGGGAAACCAGCTATCTTTAGTGCACTCTGATCAAATGCAGACACCCAGAAGGAGAACCTATCACCTAGAAATGTCATAGTTATAGAACTTTTAAACACAGTAAATACACAGTAGATGTGGCTACTATGGGAAACCAGCTGACTTTAGTGCACTCTGATCATATGTAAAATTTACGTGAAGGCACCGCACTAATGATGGGTTTTATGGTAATGAGTCCATCAGGACAGATTTGAAATCAAATGGTTTGGCCATGTTACAAGATTGGCATCAGACAGGGCACCACAGACAGCAATGTTATTTAGATACAATGGTAACAGAGCCAGAGGTTAACCATGCAGAAGATGGATGGAAGTATCAGAGACACTGAAATGGACTATATATAAAGCAAACAGAAGGGCCCAAGAGAAGATAAAAGAAGAAGAAGGAGTTCATCATACATCATGTATTGCTTGGGACTGAAAGAGTTGAAGTTGAACCAACAACAAAAAATCATTTGAAGAAAAAAAAAAATCAATCAAAATGAGAAGTAGAACTGATTACAAAACAGTTAAAGCTGCAGAGCCAGTCATTGCCAAGTTGTATAATTCTACTTCTCTTCATCTAGTTTCATCAGTGAAGTGTTGAGGGCAGATTTCAGGATTGGTTGTCTACTCTAATGCATTGAATAAAGTTTTCATTTCTTTAACTCTTACATTACCTGGCAGAAAAAATGTAGCTATTTTCTCTTAGTTTTTACTTTAAGTAATAAATGCTTGAGTCATAATTACTTCAAATTATGTAAACTGAGAGGAGTTAAAGTAACAACTGCAGCAGTCTGGGTTAATGTAACAACAAACTGGGGCATGAGGAGTTACAGAAAATTTACAATGTAGGTAGGACTTAAGAAACACAAGGTGAATTGCTGGGCACCGAATGAGTTGAGGTTGTTTTGATGCCGTTATACCATTTTTTTTTGCTTGGTCTTCCATTTGCTCTATGTTCTTTATATTTCTTCAGTGGATGCACGACAAGCTAGACATTGTAAGGGCTGTTTGGGAGTGGGTAAACAGTAAGGATGCACAAGCAGATCAACATGGTCTAAAGAGAATGGTGCAGATAGGAGTGACCAGGGGATCTGGGTGATGCTCAACACTCAGGGGAGGGGAGAGATGGACATACAATCAGACTTTTAATGGTACCATCGGAATTGGAACTCTGTGCTGGCTGCTGAAGATGGTGACGAGCACTTCTGGGAATGCCCTGAAAGCTAAGATATTAGTTATTAACTCATAACTTTTTAATGGGTCTCAGGTTTTCACTGAAATACATTAATGTAATCTTCTTAGGTGTCTGACTGAGAGCAAACACTGGTAATGAATAAATATCCAAATTCTTTCTGTAACAATTCACCATGGGTATATTATGTAACTTCATGTTTGTTTCCTTTTGATAGCTTTTTCTGTTCAACCGATAGTAATATTAGCCAGCCCACTCTATCCAAATTAAAATTTATTTAAACTTATTCTGTCCCAAAGTGTATTGTGTTAACATATTCACACATAAAGCTAACTGCCCCACTCCCACTCCCTCCCCAAATAAAAACAGTTATTCAATGGTGCATTTTCATTTTTTGAGGGCCAGGTCTATACGCCTAAAAAAAAATATCAAATGAAGCAGATGCAGAAAAACTGTCAATTGTTTGGTTAAACCCTTAGGTGTTCTTATGTGCAATTTAACAATTTCACTTATTAAATTACAAAGATTTTGAATGATAAAATTATGTATTTTTATCCCCCAAATTATGGCCTCCCATCATGTACACTCATGTATTGAACTTTCCTTCTTTAAAGTGTTACTGTGGATTGCATCATGTTTTTTTTAAAATCATATGTTTCCAGACAACTACCCTGTAAAACGTAGCATTGTGTAATTCCACTTGCATGTAAAAACTGCTCACTTCTTGACTTACAGATGTGTTTTTATTACAAGTAAACATATAAGTGGTATTTTTCTGCTTCAGTTTTTTTTTTCCCTTGTAGTTGTTGGCTAAGTTTGAGAGCATGTATCTGCCCTGTAGCAACATATGGATGTGTCATGGATATTTCACAGTCCTAAACGAAAATAAAAAATAAAAATAGGGGCGTTTGAGATTAAATTCAATAGGAAGCAGTGGATTTTGTCTTTTTTTCCTTAAGAAGTTACTAATCTGCTAAGGTAGCTGCCATGGTGAAGTGCCTAAATGCCTACCTGCGGATCCAAAGGTCATGTGTTTAAATCTGCATACCGCCAGATTTTTTCATACATGACCTTGGCTCCCAGGTTGACCCAGCCTTAAATAGGTACCAGGTAAAGTACTAGGAAGTAAAAGTGGCTGGTGTGATTCTGACCACATGACCTACTGAGTGCTGAGTGGTATAAGATTATAGGTTTAGCACTGGAGACCAAATACACCTAATGGCTTCGAAAAGAAACCTCTACTAATCAGAAGGTGGTAAGCTGTTAGATACCAAATTAGCAAACTATAGAAATCGTTCTACATTATACAGAAATAATATTATTTACGAAGCACACAAGAGGATCGAGATGAGATGAGTATTATCAATTTAAAGCTACAGTGCCAATGTTTTTTTTTTTTAATTCTCATTTCAGCAGGAAATTATGGAAATAGTTATTATCTGTATTTTGTTTCAGATTACATAACTAAAATATGGTTTCTAGATCGCTCCCTGCGCTGGCACTATATTTGTGATACTTTCCTGGCGTACTATCGCCTCATGCTCATGCATCTTGGCTTACCACACTGGCAGCTTGCATTTACAGATATTGGTCTTCCTCCGTATGCAAAGGTAAATAAAGATTATAAGAGACAGATCTAATAGCTCACAGTAAGAGGAGTGAGAAAGTAAAGGCTTCACCATTGGATATTAACAAAGTCTCAGAGCAAAGGCGATCAAAGATACCCTTTTTTTTTTCTGTGTACAGGATGCCACCTCATAGAAGACTAACCCTATTTTGTCTGGACCAAAATTAAGGAAAACATATTTCAAATACAATCCATATATATAAGATGGGAGCTGCCACAGTAAATCGACTAGAAGCTCACCTGCAGATTTGAAGCTGAGTGTTCAGATCCTGACAGAGCTTAACTTTTTTCCCAAAATGACCTGGCTCCCAGGTTGACCAGAAGAAGAAGAAGACTGAGTGTGCCTAGAGAAAATGTCTATCTCAAGGGAATGTCTTTTTCTTAGCATTAACAGGTTGTGAACTCCAGCAGGTAATTTTGGTTGCTCCTGGACTGTGGTTATGACCTAGAAATGAGAATCTGTGTGCATCATATCCATTTGACAGATCTGGCTTATTTGTATGTAGACTGTTGATTCCTTGCCTGGCACTCCAGCTTTAAAGGAAACGCCCCTAAACAGTCACCTCCAACGCAAACTTGTTAAGGAAGCAGTGGTTCTATTGTTTGTTCTCTGAAATGGATCCCTGGTACCCACACAGGGTAAGAGGATTTCAACATGTGACAAGCAGACCATGAGTTCCCAAAACATGTGAGGATTTATAAATGAAAATATGAATCTGTTATGCAGAAAATTATATAAAGATATATTTTTTTTAAATTGTTGTGGCTGTAAATATCAGTATGCACACACACACACACAGTCACCCAAACAAGGGAAACACAGTGAGATAGGCAAGAATGCCAACCTTAGCCTCCCTACTGAGTATGACGGCACCCAGTGAGGTGGGTGAGAAAGCCAAGGCTTCCCCACTAGATGTCAACAAAGTTTTCAAGGAAAAGAGTGATCAAAGGTATCTGTGATCAGAGATAGCCATTTTATAATTAATATCAAGAAAAGATGTACAACCGAACAAAAAGTATATTTGCAAACTTCACAATATAACAAATACAAACAAAACGTGAACGTTGCGGCTATGGAGCCTTCATCAGCTCATACACAAATCAAACAATATCAGACAAATACACTCGTTAAAAAACAAGTGAAACTTAGAAACAACTAGCAAAGTATGAGATAGGCAAGAATGCCAAGGCCTCCCTACTGAGTATCAACAAATTTTCGAGGAAAAGACTAATCAAAGGTATATTTTATGAGGGTCATAACGGGCCAGATGCCTAGTCTCAACACAGAAAGAGGGTTAATACAATATAACTGGCAAGTGATCCCTGGGCCACTTGTTGGGCCTTCACGGCCAGATTTGGCCCAAGAGCCACGAGTTGAATAGCCCTGTTATATAGTGATGCAGTGCGAGTTACTGAATCATAATGAAAACTTAGCAACAAAAGGCAAACTAGATGGAATAAAAGTAAGGGAAAGACATAAATAACTGGATGGCTTAGCTTCTGGATATATCTGAGACAAGAAGAAAGACCCGATTTGAGCCTCTGTTAATCTTTTTAGATGGCGAATCATGGACACTCATGCTTGTCAGCCTAGCACATAATGATGATTAGAATGACAGTTTATTTACCATTTTGTGTCTTGCTAATACAACCAGTAATCATGTAATTAAAATACCCTTTTCCACGCCTCTGCCATATTAGGCATTTAGGGATAGACCTATATTTTACAGACCAATCAGCACTCAGTGGGTGATGTAGTTAATGTCACACCAGCCACTTTTACTGTGGTTCATCCCACCCTGGACTTTTATCTTGATCTAGAACTTGGGTTGTGTGTGCACATCTGTTTTACAGATCACACTTATTTATATGCAGACTGTTAGTTCCTTGCACTCCTTGAAGTAAAAACCCCTAACTAGTTGCCTCCTATGACATGCTTGTTGAGGTGGAAAGGGGGAGCAGTGCATCTATTCTTTGTTTGCCAGTATGTAGGTGTAGGTGGGTGGGTGCGTGCGCGCGTGTTTGTGTGTGTGTGTGTGTGTGTGTGTGTGTGTGTGTGTGTGTGTGTGTGTATATATATATATAAAAATGGGTTTTCGTTACAATAATGTATTCTTAATACTTTTATTTCTTCAGCAAAGCTGCTGGAATGCAGAATGCAACCAATATATCTAGAACAGGTGCAAAGAAACAAAAACCTGCTCTACCATTAGCAAGGTATTATTTTGTAAAGTTTTATTTTACACAGGTATCTACCAGCAGAACACTTTAAATGTTATAATTATTTATAATGGTGGTGCCTTATGCAATTATCTGTGAGTGCAACTACTGATTTGTTTTAACTGATGCTTCCATCAATGATGAACTGCATTTCCAGTGCCTGACTGTTTATGTTAGCACTTCTGAAAGCTGCCTTATGCATTTAATGCTTGTGCATGCTGCTGGCTTTGTCAAGACTGCATTCTGTGTTTGTTTTTTTCCCTACAAGGAATAATGATGGCCAATCTGTTTTGTTTTCCTTGGCTCAGAAACAGAGCAACTATGGGGTGACCCATTTGCTGTGAAGTTGGAACTGTGATTGACCTGGTTTAATTTATTGTACCTGATTTCTGATTTTCATAATTCAAATTTTAAATAAAAAATATTAGTTCTTAACATTTCTTGAAAATACTGAAACTGTTGCCTTATCTTAAAACTCAAAGACCTCTTTTAAAAATATGTCGCAAATTGGTCAGGTTGTGTGTTTCATGCTTTGAAGGCTGTAGGTTTATTTCAAAGACTATTACTTGTTTACGAGACTAATATTTACAGAGATTTTTTGAGATCATCATGGAGCTAAAAACTGTGGGCTTTGTTCCACACTTGCGGGTTACCGATTCGGCATAAAGATCAGTCCATAAGGGGTAAAACCTAGCGCAAAGTAGTTCATCCTCTCAACTTTGTACCTTTAAATGTGATCAACACACGTAGACACTGGTAGCTTTGACATAGCAATGTGTTGTTTTTTTCACATCAGGTCTGCCACATCTGTGGGTAAACAAGTTGGACAGTCAAGCTCTCAAATGACAATCAAATCAAGCAGATAACAGAAGCAAATCACTGTATGAGAGCTGCCAGTGGTGTAGCGGCTAGACATTTGTCTGCGGATCTGAAAGTCTTGGGTTCAAATGCATGACCTTGGTTCCGAGCGTGCGTGTGTACGTGAGTGTAAACTACAGACAAACCAAACAGAACCAGAGATCATTGTTCTAAATAAATATTCACCAACAACAGCGCAAACTAAATGCTCTACAAATGTCATGTTTCTTCTTTGTCTCTACAGTTTGTCCTAATGATATAACTGTGCTGTGGCTTAGGCGTTGCGAACACGCTTCATAATGCCTGGGTGCCGGGTTCGAACCCTGCTGCGGACATTTTGTCTTGCGCTGGTTTCGACAGTGGTACCAAACTGACCGTTCAGGAAGCAATGGCAAACTACTGAACATCAAATTTGCCTGGAAAAACCACAACGGCCAATAAATGCTGTGGTTGGTTCTGTAAGGTCCTGTAAAGGATATGCAACTAACTAACTGTTTTACACCACAGCGGTGATATCTGCACTTTTTGACCTACACATCTAACTTCTTCAGAAATTTGTTTTTTTTGTTCTTCAGTTTAGCTCTCCCGGCTAGTTTTTGTGTCACATGAAATGTCACATTTTGCTTTGTTATAAATGCATCAGATATGAAAAAATTAAAAGTACATGTGTTAATTGAGTAGTATTTATTTTATTAATAACTTGTAACATTCTTTCATCTTAAAATTTACAAATAATGGTTCATGAATTATCAGGAACTTGTTTTATGCTCTTGCAGTGTAACAAATTTGAATTTATAATATCAACAGTAGAATTATCTCAGGGAAATTAACTAAATTTCAAAAACTGCCTGAAGCCCCGCCCCCCTTTCTCTCAGGTTGGAGATCAGTGACATAAACAGAACCAGAGAATGGCAGGAAATTACACTTTAAAAAAAGTTACTAGATTAAGAGGAGAAAAAGGGAACAATGAGCAATGGCTTTTTTTTTAAAGCCAAGTTGTCAAATTCTCTGGTAAGCTTTAGTATATCTGTTTAAAGGATGTTTTTTTTTTTTTCCCTAAAAATTCCCACTGGTTTATGATCTTTCTTTTCGATAGTGTTTTTTTTTTTTTTTTTTTTTTCAGCAAAAAGGTATAAAATATAATGTCATGTGTTATGAATGATTAACCAATAAAAAATGTTATTTACTGTGTTGTGTTTATGCCTTTACCAAGAATTATTGAACTTGTAATACTAAATTTCAAATGGTCAGATTTCCGAACAAATACACAAATAAGGCAAGAATCCAGGCAAGAGTATGGGTTTAATTTTATACGAAAACGCCGCTGGAACTATGTCGGCCACGCCCTTAGAATGGATAAATCAAGACTTCCTTACCAAGCCCTCATTTGGACACCACAGGGGAAAAGATCTCGTGGAAGACCAAGGGAAACCCTACGTAGAACTATCATCAGGGAAGGCTCGCTCATGGGCCACTCAAACATCCAAGACCTACAACGGACTGCAACGAACCGCCATGCATGGAGAGTCATGACCTCTGCCCTATGTGCCGCACTCGACACAAGAGGAAAGACTAACTAACTAATATCTTTATGAAATTTGTTTTTTTTTAATTCAAAACAAATTACAGATTCCCACAGATATTGGAATAGAATAGACCCCCGTGTGGGTTCCGGGGCCCCATTGTGGGGAAAACAAGAATAGACCCACTGCCTCCCCAAAAGCATGTCGTAAGAGTCGACTAATTGGGGAGCTTCCTTTGAAGTCGGAGTGCATCTGCCGGAGAGGCAAGGAACCAACAGTGTGTATTCAAGAGAATGAGATCTGTAAAACTGATGCACACGCAACACTCAGCTTCTGGAGCAGGACTGCACTTCAGTAGTGGATGAGCAACCAGAACCTTCCGCCAGAGTTTACAGCTGGTGAACGCGAAGAAGAAGAAGAAGGAATAGAATAGAATACACCGTGGTCTGTACAAAGAATCATGTCATTCAACTCATGATTTGAGTGAGAACATAAATACAGAAAATGTCATAATTCTTGAACAGTGCTGCTGCCATCAATCATATTTAAAGTCAAATAAGTTTTTTTAAACAACAAAAGATGATTGAGCACACTTACATGATACAGAAATTACTCCCTGTCTGGGTTCTGGGGGAAAACAAGAATAGACCCACAGCCTACCTAAAAGCATGTCCTAAGAGTCTAATAACTGGCAGCTTTCTTAGAAGTGCATCTGCCTGAAAGGCAAGGAAAGAACAGTCTGCATACAAATGAGTCAGATCTGTAAAATGGATGTGCATGCAAAACTCAGATTCTGGAAGAGGACTAGAGTCCAGATGTGGACAAACAACCAGAACTTTCCAGTTGAGTTTACAGCTGGTGAATGTGAAGAAGAATATATGCAGAAATTACAATTTTGAACAGAATAGTAAAAGGACAATTTTCATGCAAATGGTGCACTGGCATATTATGTCAGACATATAGTTTCATACACCAGTCAACCGTTGTTGGGTTTATCAACATGCCAATGCTGTCTTTATTGTTGAGTGATGTGTCAACATATAATTCTGACTTTACTTCCCGGGACAAATCCTAGTACTCATTTTAGGCTGGATGTGCCTGCGAGAGAAGGACAATTATGAAAATTCAGCCTAATGTGGAGCTGAACGCAAGATATATAGGTCAGTAGGCAAGTGTCTAGCCCCCTTTTAAGAGAAGGAACTGCACTAAATGGAAATTTATTCAACCAACTGTAACAATTTAACTGTATTGCATAGATGTGACATATCCATAGTAATTATGAATAACAAACAGCTTAATGAAAATAACTACCAGCTGGCACAGAGATAGCGGCCATATAAAATATGTAC